ACACAAGAATCACCAGCTGGTGGAAGGAGGGACAGAAAATCCTTTAAAAATGAAGACAGCAAGATAATTACGTAAACTGCCTCCGAGTCTGAGCATATTGAATGTCTGGCACCGAAAGCTGACAGGCATCATGCTAAAGTGATGTCTCTGTTTCACCATCTTATGATCAAAAGATCAGCCACCACCAAGGACATGTCTCTCTACGCTCCGCTCTTCAGTCAGCTACCCAAAACAATTCCAGCACCAGAACTGCCTTCTAGAACACTGCCGGTTTTTGAAAAAGCAAGTGTCACCTTTGTTGCAGTCAGCATTCAGCTTCAGGACGATCGCATCACTCTGGAAGGCACTATGTTCCAATGGAAGGTTTGCAGAGCCAGCATAATGAACAGAAAGTGACAACAGTTTTTCTTCTCTTCCTCCCTCCCCGACCCCTTTCCAAGGGGGCTATTCTGCAGAACTTGATAAAGCATGTACAACATACATATGAATACAGCTCTTTGTTCCAGAGAGCTGCCTGCGCTTTTATTCCCCACCGTTCTCGTATTAGTTAAATTCAATGGATCGCTCAATGGCTCTGTTGTTAGTCCAAAATGTCCTGGGCAAATAATGCTAGATGCTCTTGTCACACAAGTCAGTAAATGAGGCCTTGTACATCTCCAGTGACACACTGTAAATATAAAGTGGCGTTAATGAGGGATATTTTATCAATGCAATCGGACACAAGAGAAGTGTCCCCACCCCTCTCCCCCCCGCCCTGCAGCCACCCAGTTCAAGAATGGGGATGTGAGGGAGAAAGGATGCAACAATGAGAAGGCAGTTACTTTGCAGAGCACCCAGAAAACTGAGACAAGTCACTGCTAAGTACTTGTGCCTCAGGGCTATTTCTTCACTCAGATTCACTCACCTATTACTGTATTCAAAGAAAATCCATGTTAACCAACTTTCACTGAATGCTAAAGAAAATGATCAACTGTGCAAAAAGTATTTGGTATTAACAAAGAACCAACAGCTAACATCAAAGGGGCTTCCATTAACCATTAGTAGCAAAACAATATAGGAAGTTTTGCCCCCAAACCAACAGGTTCTCAATGAGGAAGTTCTGACCGAAGCCTTGTCTGCAATTTGCAGAAAAAGATGCATCAATTCAGACAATGTATGCATGACTTGTGATTCAATAAAACAGCCTTTTGCTACTTTGGTGTGCATTTAAAACTGGGTGCATGCCAAAATGAAGAAAAAGATGCCACAAGCACACCAACCAGTGCTGTTTAGTTCAAAATCTTGCTTTAAAAAACGAGTGTTAGGCTGTAAGATATGTAAGAGAAAGAAGCTGCTTCCATGGTAACAGGCAACAGAATTTTCATGTAGCTCTGACATGGACCATAGAGCACACAGCCCCTCCTTTGCGAAGTAAACATGTCCTCTTTTAAGGAGGTAAACTCTTGTGTTCATTTAAAAAACTTAGAATGACTACTTAGAATGACTCCTCAACAAGGCTATTTTGCTACCAGTTAAGTGGCCTTGTGCATTCCTGTTTTCTGGCTGCAAAACAGATAATTCACATTACCACCTTCTGGTTTTCCTTCCCCACCCACACTATTTGCCCACTCTCACCTTGGTTATACATCACAAACAGACCCTCACATATCTGCTATTTTCAAGGCAGGGGTTCTGTAAAAATAAAGGTGCTCTTTCAGGAACGTATTTTATTACGATCACCAGAACTTGCATATATCCAAGACAGAAACCAACAGATTAGGAGCTTCCAAACCAGTCTACCACCTTCACTCATAAATTTAGAATTTTGCAGTTCAAAGCAGAAGAAAAATGAGGTTGAAGGGAATTCCCATTTATTAATTCAGTCCACCCTCAGTGTATAGAACAAATTGGATCATGTAATGCTGTTTGCTGATTTCTCTTTACCTACTCCTTTCCCTTTCCTCCTGTGGAAAGAATTGTGGGGCATAGAGAGAGCAGCTTGACGTTGCAGCTTGCCTCCGGGAACTAGTGGAGTGACAAGAACAGCAACAAGTGAGGGGGGAAGTGGGGTGGGGTAGGAGAGGAACAACCTCCCCCCTCCCAGCTTTGCAGCAAATGAGTCCTTGTCAGAGCTTGAACCTTCAGCTGGGATGTGCTCTCAAAAATGCTTTCATCTCTCAACTGATTATTGGCTTTTCTTGTTTTTCATTCCTCTCTCAATGCATTTTAATATAAATATAATGTGCAGTTGAATAAATTGTAATGGGGTGGGCTAAGCTCTTGTGATATATAGTCAATGAAGAGCTTTTGTAAAATATATTATCTGAACCAAAGCAAAGAGCGATCTGACAGCGAAGTGATTCCTCTCTCCTCTTTGTTATTGAAAGCAAATACTGCCCTCTTCTTTTCCAACCGTGCCAAGACTGACTCTGCTATGGAACAGAAAATGTTTGCAGTAGGGACATAGAAAACAGGGAGATCTTGTGTAGGGTCTTTTCTTTTTTTTAATTTCAGCATTTGCTAAAGCACAACACACGGGAGCCACTGCAGAGACAGTGCGCGCACACTACCCTTTCCTCCACCATCACCACCCTCAAGCCAAGCCCCTCAAATCCTTTCCTTTCTGCAAGATATGGACTGGCAGGAGGTTTGGAGAAGCCTGCGGGAGAACCTCAGGAGGCGGGCAGTTGCTGAATCCAAACACAGCAATGGATCAACTACTGAAGATTCAACACGCACGAATCACTACACAAAGCAAATCGAAGCACGGGTGCACTTACACACACACACACACACATGCACACAGGCAGGGGGGTGCACATTCAAGAGGAGTCCCCTCCTTTGCTGCAGCCCCCTTTTTGCCGTAGCTCCCTCATATCTCAGTGGGGAACGGCAGTTAGAGAAAAGGTTTTCACATTCAAACCAAGGAAAAAGAGACAGAGAGGGAGACAGGCAGGGACAACAGACATGAAAGCAAAATGAAAGGGCACTACAACTTCAGGTTGAAAGGCAAAGGGAGAACTGTAGTTGGCTCCCTCTAAGGGGCCATGGGGAGTTGGTGTGGGGCTCATGGACACTTTAGTGACAAAGGGAAAAGCAAAAAAGAGGAATTCTCCACTGAGTTGATAGAAAGGGAGACGATCGATGTGAGAGAACCTTGACGGAATACGCAAAAGGAAGAGAGAAGTGATAGCAGGAGCTGTGTCTGAACGAAGGAGCAAAAAAGTAGAAACTGGCACAAGAAAAGGAATCAGGGGTGGGGGAGCAGAGAGAGAAAAAGAAGGGATGGAAAGAAAGCACAAATCACATCGGGCAGGGAGGTAAATGGACAGATTTGGGGGGGGCAGGCTTGGAAAAGGCTTTTGGCTAGACTCCAAGGGCTGTCAATGAATGGGGGGGTGAGAGAGAAGAGACAGGAACGTTTCAGCTGATATTGCAGCTACAGAACAGAAGCAAAAAAAGGGATGAAGGAAAGAACAATGCTCAAGAATGCGAAGGGTAGATTTATATTGTAGCAGAACAGAAAGAAGAGGCAGAGAGAAGAACTGATTCAAGCTCCAGTTCCGACATGAGAGGAGAGGGGGGAGGGGGACAAGCAAAGTCAACACTCGTGTGTGTGTGTGTGTGTGTGTGTGTGTGTAGCAAAGGGGGACAGAGAGAAAAAGGATGCAATGAGGATGGGGGTGGGGAGAGAAGAAAAGGAGGACCAGTTTGACGAGGGAAACACCGTGGGGGGGGTGGAGTAAGGAGAAACCCGAAAATCCTAAAAGGAATTGGGGGGGGAGGGTGGTGGTGGAGAGAATTGCAGTGCACGGAGAGGGGAAGAAAAGAACAATAGTCCATGGCCGAAGAAGACACGGAAAGAGAAGAGAGAGAAGCATGGGGAAAGTAGAGGAGGGGGAGAGAGAGAGAGGAAAAATAAAAGAGAAAAGCCACAATCAGGTTTGGATTGCAGCAGGGGAGCAATGAAGGAGCCGAATGAAACGGAGAGGTGTGTGTGTGTGGAGGAGACAGCCTTCAATGACTGGGAGTTGTGTGTCTGCGAGTGAGTGAAGAGAGGCTAGAAAAGCGAGCCAGCCTTTCCAGCAGGGAAACTGAGGCAGGGGGAAGAAAGAGGGAGGGGAGCACTCGACCACCCTCCTACCCCTCTTTCCTGGGGGAGGGGAGAGAGAGAGACGAGCCCCCCCCTTACACACCCGGCTGAGGGAGGGGGCGCCCCTCTCCCCGCGAGGGCGGGAAGCGCCCTGAGGCGAAAGTGTGCGGGAGCGAGGAGGTGCCGTCCGTCTGCCGGCTCGCCCTCCTGCGTGCCTACCTGTGGGGAGCAGCGAGGCGGCGGCGGCGGCGGCCAGGAGGAGGAGGACGAGGGAGGGCGAGGGCGGCGTGAGGGCCCCGCAGGGCGGCGAGGCGGCGGGGGGCGAAGGCGAGCCGAGGGGCGGCGAGGAGGAGGAGGAGGAGGGCGCGGAGGGGCCGAGGCCGGGCTGGTAGCAGTGATGCTGCTGCTGGTGGTGGTGCTGCTGCTGCTGTTGCTGCCGCCGCCTCTCCCGCTCTTCCTGAGTCCGAGTCCGGCTCCGGCTCCGACTCGCCATCTTCGGGCACCTGCTCGGCTCTGGCAGCGCCCCCCGGAACAGCAGCGCGAGCGAGCCGGCCGCGTAATGAGATGCGGCGACGTCAGCGCGGGGTGGGCGGGGCGCGAGGCGGAGCCAACGGCGCTCTGGAGGCGGCGGAGGCGCGGAGGGCGGGCCCAGAGAGCCCCGGCCGCCTCGTGCCTCGCCGGCCAATGGGAAGGCCGGCAGGAGGGGAGTGTTGCAAAGAGGGGGCGTGGTCTGCATAGTAATAACGCGCCTCTCGTATAGACATACACACAGCTCTGCGCTCGCTCGCTTTCGCCAGCAGCCTCGCCGCCTGCGTGGTCTTCTTCTTTGGCGATCGCTCGTAGCCGAGTAAAATTGTCTCCCATGAACACGGTCTTAACAGTGAGTTAAGTAAGTGACTGTGGAGGCCAGTTCTGGATCCCCACGTCCTTCCACGACGGGGACATTGGTTTCCGGGCGGGAGTTGATCACGGTGAGGGTTTGCCAAACTTGGCTTCCTCTTAACACGTTTCTCCCTTTCGTCCTGAGTTCCAGCATCTACAAAGTCTATGATACTTTTGGTAAAGGTTGTTCTCCAATTGGAGCACCCAATTGTCGGTGTTTATACTACTTTTTTTTTAGATTTGCCTTGAGAGAGTCTTTAAACCTCTTTTGTTGACCATCAGCATTACGCTTTACATTTTTAAGTTCGGAATAGAGTAATTGTTTTGGAAGATGATAATCAGGCATCCGCACAACATGACCAGTCCAACAAAGTTGATGTTGAAAGATAATTGCTTCGACACCGGTGATCTCTGCTTCTTCCAGTACACTGGCATTACTTCACCTTTCTTCCCAAGTGATGTGTAAATTTTTTCGGAGACTCTGTTAATGGAATCTTTCAAGGAGTTGGAGATGGCATTTATAAATGGTCCATGTTTCACAAGCATACAGTAATGTTGGTAGTACAATAGCTTTGTAAACAAGCATTTTTGTTCCCCTGCGAATGTCCTGGTCCTTAAACACTTCAATTGGGAGAAAGCAGGCGATGCTGGATTTCGGCATCAATGTCGGCCCTTGTGGAAAGATAATGGCCCAGGTAGGAGAAGTGATCAACACTTTGCAATGCTTCACCATTGAGTTGGATTTGTGGCTCTGCAGAGGGGTTGTTGGTGCAGCACTTTGGTTTTTTGGAAGTTGAGCAATAGGCCAAGCTTTTTGTAAGCTTCTGCGAAGATATTTACGATGGTTTGGAGGTCATCCTCTGAGTGTGCACACCCTACATTGTCATCAGCATACTGAAGCTCTATGACGGAAGTTACGGTAACCTTACTCTTTGCTTTCAGCCTGCTCAGATGAAAGAGCTTTCCATCTGTTTGATATATGATTTCTACTCCAGTGGGGAGTTTCCCTTCAGCAAAGTGTAGGATCATGGCAATGAAAATAATGAATAGAGTTGGGGCAGTAACACAACCTGTTTAACACCTGATCCCACTGTGAATGGTTCACTTTGGGAGCCATTGTTATCTGTGATTGTGGCTGTCATATTATCATGGCAGAGCCGAATGATTTCACAAATTTATCTGGGCAGCCAATTTTCAGAAGGACAGTCCACAGGGCATTACGATTTACAGTGTTGAAGGTCTTCGTCAGGTCAATAAATGCCATATTCAGGGGTTGGTTTTGCTCTCTACATTTTTCTTGAAGCTGTCGAGCAGTGAAAATCATGTCCACTGTCCCCTTAGAAGGTCAAAAACCATTTTGGGATTCAGGAAGGGTAGCCTTGGATATTGTTAAGAGACAGTTTGCAAAGATCCTTGCAAGAATTTTGCTGGCCGCAGCTAATGAAGAGATGCCTCGATAGTTTCCGCAATCCGTTGTATCACCTTTTTTAAAGAGATTGATAATTTTGGCATCCCTAAAGTCTGCTGGGATCTCCTCTCTCTCCCAGATTTTTTTCGATGAGTTTGTGAAGTTGTATAAATTCAATTCTGCCCACTTTGAAGATTTCAGAAGGTATCCCATCAGGTCCGCTGGCTTTGTTGTTTTTCACTTGATTAATAGCTGTACACAACTCTCCCAGATTTGGAGATACTGCAAGCTCATCTTTGTTTTTGTTTTTGCAGAATTTGTGAGAAGACCTTAGCAGCTACGGGTGAGTTGTGGTTAAGGAGATGCTGGTAATGTTCTTTCCAGTTCAGTGCAATAGTTTTTTTATCTTTTAGAAGTGTGATATCATCTGTTGAGCATAGGGGGCATATGCCATGATTTATTGGCCCATAGATGGTCTTTGTGGCTTTAAAGAAACTCTGTGCACCATGAGTGTCGGCAAAGTGATCCACAATGTCCTTAATGGCAGAACAGGTGGAAGACAACAAGTGGCATGTTACAACGGCTGTGAAGGCGGATGAAGCCTGCAGCAGACAAGAATCTACCACTCATCGTGATACTCATGCCATCAGAATAGAGCCCTACTGCAAAGACTGTGCGCTGGTCAGCGTGCACTGATCTACACACATAAAACAAATTAACGCACAGGCACCTTCCAAAAACCCACCCCTCTCATAGACATACACACACCTCTGTTCTCTCTCACAGTGCCACTGTCTGTGTGGTAAATCAGTGTGTGCCCTCTTGAGTTGCAGCGGGGCAGAGCCGACATGGAATTACTGTACCCGATTGATGCCTCCTCTGAGACGAGCATGGAGGTGAGGCCCCACCCTCTCCTGAGTCTAAGCCACGCCTCTTCTGCTGCCAATGGCTGCAAGGGGGCGGGGCAAGGTCTCCAGCTCGGCACCACATGCGGAGAAGCGGGTTAGGGAGCATCTGCATTGCTGCTGCTGTTGTTGATGAGGATGTTGAACACCCGCCATGTACCCTAAGGGGTGGGTTACAACAATTAAAACACAATATTGAAAGCAGTTTGAAACAACTTGCATTCATGGAAATAAGTTGAGTGCTAGAAATATACACCTCAACTGTAGAGAGAGGTTTATTAAGTGTAATTTCCACTTGTTTTCTTAATTTAACCAATTACCTTTCAATTATTTAATGTATTCATTTTTATCTATATCCAGGTATATTACAGGCAACTGCTATGTATAGTGGCATCCAGAAGCGAACGCAACCCGCGTCTGCGTGTGCGTGGGTCGCAGTTCGCCGCTTCTGCGCATGCGCGTGACAGCATTTTGACCATCTGCACATGCGCAAGCAGCGAAACTCGGAAGTAACACACTCCACTCCACCACAGCGCGCAACCCAAAAATACTTATCCCGAAGCTACTTCAACCCAAGGTATGACTGTATATATAAAAGGTAAAGAATCCCTGGACAGTTAAGTCCAGTCAAAGGCAACTATGGGGTTGTGGCGCTCATCTTGTTTCAGGCCGAGGGAGCTGGCATTTGTTCACAGTCAGCTTTCCAGGTTATGTGGCCAGCATGACTACACCACTTCTGGTGCACCGGAACTCGGTGATGGAAGCCAGAGCACACTGAAATGCTGTTTACCTTCCTGCCGCAGTGGTACCTATTTATCTACTTGCACTGGCGTGCTTTTGAACTGCTAGATTAGCAAGATCTGAGACAGAGCAATGGAACTCACTCCATCGTGAGGATTCAAACCGCTGGCCCCCCGATAAGTCCAATAAGTCACCGTTTTCTTGGTAACGGACAATACAATTTATGAGCCGCTTAAGAAAAAAGAATGCAAGCGAAAAAATCTGACAATCATAATTTTAAAAAGACTACCAAGAGCCTTGTAGCACCTGAAAGGCTGACAAATTTATTATGGCTTAAGCTTTCATGGACTACCATACACTTCTTTAGATGCATGCAATGCTGGCATTTGCATGAGGCAAGGTGAAGCAATTTGGCTCAGGAGGCAGATCACGCCTTCACTGCTGCCAGTCCCTTTTGCTGCTGCCAGCCCTGCTACGGCATCAGTGCCCTTACCCTCACCACTAGTTCTGGACCCTCGCCACTCTGTCATGGCCATGTGGTTGCAGCTGCAGGCAAAGATGCAATTGCAGTGGTGGGATTAGCAGCAGCACCGGCAGGGCCAGTGCATCCCATTTTGCTGTTGCAGGCGATACAGGAAGTCCTGTGCAGCTCCTGTCAAACCATCCCTCACCTCAGTTGCGCAGTGGCAGCAGGTTCCTGGGAGATGCCGCAAGATCTCCCTGAAATCCTCTGAGATCCAGTGCACTCTGTGAGATCTTGCAAGATTTCAGAAAGATCTCACGAGAAGTGTTGTAAGAACAAACAAACAAAACTTTTATCTGATCCAAGTGATAGAGAATTTATAAGTTATTAGATAATTGCATAATGTACCATGCAGGAAGATCAAACCAGCATTTAAAATAAGAAAGGAAATGTGAAGCAGACACAATAAATGTGTAGGGAAGGAAACAAGAAGCTTGTAAAGCAATCCCCAAGGCCAAGCAAACACAGCTTCTCCCTTTCTGTTGCCAAACTCTATAATCCAGGATGGGCTTGTAGGGCGCACTTTTACTTCATAGAATTTCTGTTGGCCACAAGCATTGCCTGAAATTTGCACAGTGGAACTGCATGCTCAGTATATATTAACACAGAATACTCAGCTTCTTAGCAGTGGTCCTGATTAGGCTCTCTTGCCAATGAATTTTCCTGCAGCATCAAGCCAATGCCTCTTCTGGTCTAGTATTCTGTTGCCTCCCTCACTGTCCATCTTTTTCAGAGCCCCCATTGGTGTAGTGCGGGGGGGGGGGGAATGAAGTTCAAGAGCTCATCATGGCAACCCCAATCACCACACTTCCAAAGTGAATCTACAGCTTTGCCTCCAAGGTGAACCCAAACAGTCAGGCAGCTGTGTGCAATCTTGTGACTAAGCATCATATTTTAAACACCTAGCGTGAAGCAGAAACCACACCAAAGAAAGAGAAAGGCTCTACTGGATTATCCCTCCTGATTCTCTGACTTCCTCTAGATTAATCTGTCACAAACAAACTGCATTCAGTTGCCAGAGCAAGAAGAGCCCGTCATTTATGCTGGCACTTAGGCAATGACATCATCACACCCACTTTTCTGCATTCCCTGTCAACTGCACCACTGGAAGCTCACAAGGAGATGGTGACAACTGTTGCCTGATGTTTGGCCCCTGTACCTGCTGATCAGAAGAACCACTTCCATTGATAAAATTTCCCAGCTTGCATTTGTCTAAAGCAACACACCTGGATTCTCTGTAACAACCCAGTAGAGCCATCCTATGCAAGTCTGCTTTGCGGTAAACTCACTCAATTCAGTGGGACTTACTCTCAGGTCAGTGTGTCTCAGCACTGCAATACCTCAAGGACCAGGTTGGTGGCACAGTGGGTCAGTGCATCTGGCTGTTAACCAGAAGGTTGGTGGTTTGAGCCCACCCAGGGACAGTTATGGGCAAAATTACTGCATTGCAGAGAATTGAACTAGATAACCTACAGGGTCCTTTCCAACTCTACAATTCTATGATTCTATGGACCCCAAGATCATCAACTGAGGCCCTTTTTCATGAGCCTCCTCCATGAGAGGTCTGGAGGGTGGCAACACGAGAACAGGCCTTTTCTGCAGTAGCTCCCTTTTTATGAAATGTTCTCCTCAAGGAGGTTCGGCTGGCATCTTAATTATGTACCATTAGGTGCCAGGCGAAAATGTTCCTCTTCAATCAGGCCTTTGGCTGATTAACATACAATAACCCTTTTAAATGTGTTTGTGGGAGGGGGCTTACTGTTTTGTTTTTGTTATGTATTTTGAGACTTTTATCTTGTATTTTTATGTTGTGAACTGCCCTGAAATCTACAAATGTAGAACAGAAACAACAGCCATAATAATAATAATAATAATAATAATAATAATAATAATAATAATGCAGACAAAGGAATATCTACTTTCATAGTTTCTACTTTCAAATGGGATCCAACCACCAACAAATTCAGGTTGCATAATTGGGAGGTTTTATGCATAATTGGGAGGGGAGAGACTCCATCAGGCAAGGCCCCCTTCCACCTGCCTTGCTCTACCCTCTGCTTCTCAATGTGTATTGTATTGTTTTATGTACTGTGGCTTGCCGTTTTATTGATTATAGTTTAGATATTATTGTAATTGTTGAGTGGATTTCTGTTTAACTTTTATATGTTGATATTATTTTATACTATTCTAATGATTGTTGAATTTTACTTTTTTGATGTAGGTTGCCTATTTTAAAGTTATGTTTTATTATCACATTTTTGTATTGCATTAGATTGTTATAAGATGTACACTTTTTGTTTCTTCAGCTTGTAAACCGCTTTGAGTACTGTAAGATAGAAAGGCGGTATACAAATCAAAAATGATGATGATGATGAAACCCGCTTCCCCAAAAGACCAACTTTTTGTGTTAAGGAAAGTGCCAGGGAAATGCACAGGAAAGTATGGGATTGCACATGTTTTGATACAACATCGTCTAACCTCCCTGCAAACAAATGAGGATGCAGGCTCAATAAACAGATCATCTGGAAATGCCCTTGGTGAAAGAATAGTGCCAAGTCCAGAGAAAACTGCTGCTGTGGGAGCATCCCACCTTTTAAGTGAGGCAAAGAAAAAGCAATGGAAAATAGCCAGTTCTCTGCTTTGCTTTCAAGAAAGGAAAAACAAAACAAAAAAATCAGAAGGCAGAAGATGGTTCACCTGGAAACTGGCCAGTGGCCTATCAGTGGGCTGTTCTCTTGCCGCTCTCCCCACTCCTGTTGCAGAATACCAAGTCACAACAAACCTCTAGCTGGGAAAACAGGCATGCTACCATAGGACAGCTTGTGACTGATTTTGATTAATTAAGTGGCAATGTGTGCCAAAGAGACTACACCTGGAAATTTGTCCCATTGGGTTTTATATTGAGAACCTATGTTGTTAATTTTCAAAACATCATCACTTTGGTTCAAGATTCACTTCCACGTGTGCAGCACTACCTGGGTAGAATACTTTATTTTGAATCAATAAAGCTGTTTGGGGGATGTTGTTGTTTTGAAAAATGTATCTGAGTATACTGTTTCTTGTAGTATGCTGTGAGCCCTCTGTGATCTTTAATATGGAGCGGTATGCAACTGAAATGAAATAATTAAATCTAAAAAGCCTTCATATACCTAGGTCCTGGTCATATTCTTCTTATAATTGATTACATTATTATCTCTTCCTACTACCATGGAGCTCTGGGCAGTGGCATTCAAATTACACACACACACACTAGCAAGGTAGGCTAGAGGGAGAGAGAGAGATTGGCCTGAAGTCTATATGGGAGGAAAAATATTAATCCCTGTGTCCCATGTATGTGGGTAAATAATAAAAGTATTGGTTGGGTGCTTCGATTCAAAGCATGGGGCTAAGCTCGCCCTCCAGCTGGAGAGAGCTCCCAAGTAGTAGAGTTTAAACTCACTAAAGTCAAACAGCAGTATAGTGTTCGGAATATAGGTTGTTAGACCTTTTTATTCTGTTTAGTTGCATACAGTGCTTTTCTCTTTTTGCTCCTCTTGCAATGAACAGACCACATAAGTAAATTTAAAATGCGTTACTTACAAAATATTCCAGAGGTCAAATTCATGCTTTTATCCAAACAGCAGCAAGGAGAACATAGGCAGAATACTTTTAGGTGAAAAATACAGAAAGAGAGCTTCAAACACATGCTGTAAGCTTGGAGCTTGCAGAAGCACATCTTCCTTGGTCAATTACATGATACAGAGAGAGAGAACAGGAAGAGAAGGCTTCACTTCCTCCCTCATCATAAAAAGGGGTGTGGCCTAGGTGAGTCTAGGAATCTAATTCTGTGGTCTTAATCCTTCATGCATATTTACATTTGACTGCAATTTCTCATGGTTCTCTTGTGAGCTTCATGGCTGGAAATGAAACTCAAGAGAAGTTATTTGAACCTCTCTTCAGAGCAGAATGGAGAGTGGGTGTACAATCCTGGCATACAATGAAATTTAGGCACATTTTAGATACCGTGTTAGGTATAGGAAAGGCAGAGTCAGTACAAACAGGGACTCAAGACGAAAAAGAAACCGTCTTTTGTGCATTGTGGAATTTTGAGGATATTTACCAAGACCTTCATTGGCACCATTTGCCTCCCACGGGCGCCACGTTGCCAACCCCTGATCTAACTGATTCTGTGCAGGATTACTTTTCCCCACTGAGTTTAGCAGGACTATGGAAAAG